GTGAGGTAGAATGAGAGGTCTTCTGTTCCCTGCTCATTTGCAGATAGCCTGTGGCAGGCCTCCTGCTTGTGGGAGGGGACCTCCTGTCCTCTAGTTGATAGGCTTTGTACCTGTAAATTGTTTTCTTGAATGTTCTTCAATGGAGTTACAGCTTGCTGAACTTCATTCTTGGCTCAGCTCCCCACCTTTGGCTTCATAGAGTCCAATTCCATCCAGTTTTTCTTCCTCTGCTCAGGAGCCTCTGCCCAGGGTTGCTACTAGTCAGCCATCTTCCCAGAATTCCCCCTGATTAAATTTTTTTTAAGTCTTTTTTTTTTTTTTTTTTTTTTTGAGTCATGGCTCATGATACATCTATCGAGGGCAACAAAGTGAACTGTGTCTCAAAAGAAAAAAAGAAGTTCCTGTTCATGTCTTTTTTTTTTTTTTTTTTTTTTTTTTTTTGAGTCAGGCTCTCACTGTATTGCCCAGGCTGGAGTACAGGGGCTATTCCCAGGCACAATCATTGCTTGCTATAGCACGTGTGCCTTTGCAGCTGGCTCAAAGTCTTTTTCTTCTGGAGATACGTACTAAAATATTTACAGGTGAAAAGATATGTTTTGTGTTTGACTCAAAATAGCCCAGGGGAGCTGGGGAGAAGCAGAGAAGAGGGCTGATGAAACAATGAGTGATCAAATGATCACTGTTAAGACTGGGTATATGGGTGCATGGGGGTTTATTTCACTGTTTTACTTTGATGTATTTTTGAAATTTTTCATAGTAACAGGGAAAAAGTTATATATCCAGATATACACACAAAATATAGATTACATTGCATGTTGCAACGTAGGCCTCTTTGGATCTAAATTGAAAAATCCTTTATAAGGGCATTTGAATACTACTGCCAGGGGAAAAAAAGATGGAAAATAGCATTTATTAAAATGAAGATTTGAGAATGTGTAATGTAAAGCAGAATATATTAAAAAATATATTAGAATGATATGTGGAGATAAAAATCACCAAGTTGTGGGAAACAACACTAAATGACCTTGCTGACAAAGCTGACTTCAACTGGGGATGGAGGGGACAAGGAAGGGAGTTTTCAGGATTCATTAGGTTTTGACCTGCCTTTTTTTTTTTTTAAAGAGGAAGAGGAAGATAGGTTGACTTTCAAGGCCTCTTAAAGATCCCTGACTCTAAAAATTTCAATCGTGCCAGCAGGTGGCGCATTTGTTAGTATTCCTCCCCAGATGAAAAAATGGACTAGTATGATTGTAAGAAAATAAGAATTGCTGCCTTTCGTTTCATAGTCGGCTAATCTCAGGGAACATAGTTTATGTTACCTTACCATTTCTTTTCCTCAGTTGAGTTTGAATTTTGTATTAAATTACTAAATAATTCCTAATTTTATTTTTTTCTATAGAAAAATATATCTGAATAGCCAGACATTGAGGCGGGCACCTGTAGTCTCAGCTGCTTGGGAGGCTGAGCAAAGAGAATTGCTTAAGCCCAAGAGTATGAGGTTGCTGTATGAGCTGTGACGCCACAGCATTCTACCCAGGGCGATATAGTAAGACTCTGTCTTAAAAAAAGAAAAAGGGAGGAAGGAAGGAAATATCTGATAAAATCCCAACCCTCTGTTAATTTTCACATTATGGGATGCCTCAAAATGTAGTGAAGCACCTAAACTTTGGGAAACCAGAAAGCCAAGTGCACTTTGTAGTGTGCTGTAAGCTATAGGGTATTGTGGCTTGTGTACTGGGACTTTATGTTGCTTTTGGTGCTCTGGACAATTTCCCAGAAGAGACCATAGATTTCAACATAGCCTGGAATTGATCTTTATAGTCCTCCGAGTCTGGCTTTGCAATGAATGTCCAAGGCTATGGAAGCCCTGGCTCTCTGCTTCCCTGAGGGAAAGCCCTAAGAGGACACTTCACTGATTTAAAATAGCTGTTGGACACAAACCAACCTTCTGTGAGTACTGTAAACATGAAAGTGTCCTCAGAATTTTTTAAACAACCTGGGAGTCTCTGAGAGGAAGCTAAGTGGAATTCCTCAATCCCTCCCCCTTTGGGATTTAGGCTGAGTTTGCTGTAAACGTGGCCCTATTTTGTTGTTTTAGCTTGTTCCAGTTGGAGAACGTGTACGTTTATGTTCTGAAAGGGATGCCATGTTATCAGTACCATTTCCAATTTGTTCAACAAAGAAACTTTGTTGTTGTTGTTGTTTTTGAGACAGAATCTCAGTTTGTCGCCCTCGGTAGAGTGGCATCATAGCTCCCAGCAACCTCAAACTGTTGGGCTTAAGTGATCCCCTTGCCTCAGCCTCAAAGTAGCTGAGACTGCAGGAACCTGTCACATCACTCACTGTTTTTAGAGACTGGGTCTCACTCTTGCTCTAGCTAGTTTTGAACTCACGAGCTCAGGCAATCCACCCACCTTGGCCTACCAGAGTATTAGGATTCTGGAGTGAGCCACTGCACCCCTGCCAACAAAGAAACTTTATAGTGGACTCTACTATGTGAGATGTTTAGATATAGGTGCTCTTATTGCTAATTTAATCAAAGTGCTACTTTTTTTCACCGAATCAACATTTTTTAGTACCATTGGAAGTTTTTTCCTCTTTTTGTGCTATCAGATTCTTTGAAAATAGAAGTTATTTAACTTCATAAAATGACCCTTAATAATTATAAATCCCATATGGAGGAAACTGAGCCCCAGGCTTAAAGAAGCTGCTACGGGTTCTTGAGGGAAGCGCTGGGAGGGACACAATCTCCTATTTGGCTTGGAGATGTTTTGCAGCCCAAAGACAAGCCCTTAAGCAACTGCATATGTTAATGAGATAAGATGGGGTCACTGTTAGCAAGCAGGTTGAACCTTGGACATTTGTGGTATAACAGGGTGGGAGTCGAGCCTATGGGGAAAGAGCACATAGCGATCATTAAGCACATAGTCCTTGAGCATGGGCCGCCATACCTGTTGTATAATGCTTCAATAAAAGGCCATGAAAGAATTGCTCTGGGCTCTCCCTGGAATTTTGGGAAGCCCACCTCTTGCAGGCTTGTGACTTCCATCCATGTCCTGGCTGTTTTTATTTGCATGGTGACAGGGTGCCACAGTGGACACCAACACCCGTAGGCATTTTTTAACCAAACATTAAAAAAAGCACATCTTTTTTCTTTTACATTTTTCTTGCTTATAATAATAGTCATCACAACATTTCAGAGAATACAAAACAGTGTAAAGCTGCGGTCCCCAAACCCCAGACCACAGACCACAATAGGTCTGTGGCCTCTTAGGAACTGAAGTTCCTCTTAGGGCCACACACTTCATTTGTACAGGCATTCATCTCCCCATTTCAGGCATCACTGCCTGAACTCCACCTCCTGTCAGATCTGTGGTGTCATTAGACTCTCATAGGAGCCAATACTCTACTGTAAATTGCACATGCAAGGTATCTAGGTTATGTGGTCCTTATGAGAACGTAATGCCTGATGATCTAAGGTGGAGCTGAGGCAGTGATGCTGAGACCATCTAGTTGCTGGAAGACAAGCTCAGGACTCCCACTGAATCTGCAGTGGGAATTATGGTGAGTTGTATAATTTTTTCATTATATATTACAATGTAATAATAGAAATAAAGTGCACAATAAATACAATAAATGTAATATGCTTGAATCATCCTGAAACCATTTTCCCTGCCCTCCTCATCTGTGGAAAAATTGTCTTCCATAAAACCAGTTCATGGTGCCAAAAAGTTGGGAGACTGCTGCTATAAAGACTAAAATTAAAAATACCTGTAATTCCATCAAACCATTACTAGACTATGTGTAACATAGTGTTATTTAAAATGTGTGTAACATTTTTTAAATGTAATAGTTTGCTGAGTTTTTTTAACATGCTGTTTCACTTAATTGTGGACATTTTGCATATTAATAAGCATAGTTACACTTTGTTATTGTCTTTCTTTAAAAATTTGGGAGAAGTTGGCTCAGTGCCTGTAGCTCAGGCAGCTGGGGCACCAGCCACATATACCAGAGCTGGTGAGTTCGAATCCAGCCCGGGCCTGCCAAATAACAATGACAACTACACCCCCACCCCAAAAAAGCCGGGTGTTGTGGCGGGCACCTGCTGTAGTCCTAGCTACTTGGGAGGCTGAGGCAAGAGAATTGCTTAAGCCCAAGAGTTTGAGGTTGCTGTGAGCTGTGACGCCAGGGCACGCTACCAAGGACTACCTAGTGAAACTGCCTCTTCCAAAAATTTGGAAGAAGCAGTATTTATTGTACAAGCACGCATTTCTTTAGAGTTTTTTCTAAAATGAAGAATAAACACAAAGTGCATAAAGTTTCATATATACCAGGTTCTCAAATAACGTCTTTTTATTCAACACCGTTCCATTAAAACATTGATGAGGAAAAAAATATATCGATTTCTGGCCACGGCCACTGTCTGTATGCAGTTTGCATGTTCTCCCCTTGTCTTCATAGGTTTGCTCAAAGTACTGTGGTTTCCTTCAACATCCCAAAAATATACCTGTTAGGTTCATTGTCATGTCTGCATTGTCCAGTCTGAGTGAACGTGGGTGTGTGTGAGTGCACACTGCAATGGATGGAGTCCTGGTTAGGGCTGGTTCCCACCTCTCTCAGTCAGCACTGCAGAGAATCTCTCTTCTGGGTTTGACAGTAACTGAAAACTAAAGCCCCACCTCTGGCTCCAGGGAACCAGCCTCGGGAGAAACTACAACTCCCAGGATTCCTGGTGACGCCCCCGGAAGTTGTGGTTCTTTGGTTCGTTTCCCCGCCCCCCCCCCGCCCCGCGGCCCTCCCACCATCTCCACCCATTCAGGATAAGTACGGCGGGTAAAAGTCGTCATGAGAATTTCTTGCTCGCTTTGTCATTTTTCTCATTTAGCTAATTTTTGTCATTTTTAGCTTATTGTTATGCATGCCCAAGGATTTCTTCTTTGGAGACGTAGGCGGAGCCCGGAGCAAGTGTTAACCCGGAAGAAGTGTTTGCGGAAGTGAGAGTGATTCCTGGTATGTCAGCTTGAATGTAGTGGGTTTCTGAAGGTTCCGACTTCAAGGAGAATCGCTAACGTCTTTTCTTCTTTTTCTTAGGTACTCACAATGTTTTCCTGATCATAAGAGGAACCTTTTCTTTTCTTAGTTTCCCCCTTATGGAATCATTTCATATACCGAGTTTCGTATGTGGTTTGCACGTGCTACTACCGCGCGCGTAGTGCCACTATTAACACGCTGACACTGAGAATTGTTCCTAAAATATCAGTTCCTAAAATACGGTTACTGTGGTGAGTGATAGAAACGTTTCGCTGCTCTTAGGTATAAATGAACCTGGAGAGTAAAACTCTTGTTTTTTTCCCTCTTACTGTTGAGGTTCGTGACCTTGAGAATTGGTCCTTCTCCTACTTGCCTTAAGGTCGGGTTTTAGGTAGAAGTAGTCTACCAAGAATTAATTTTATCATCCTCTTATTCTGTCTTATACAAACAGACAGAATAGAAACCTCCTCTGATGCGCTTTAAACTACATGTAAAGACAGAGAAACTTCTGTTGGAAGAGTAACATTTGTGGCTGTTGGGCATTGGTTTTTTTCTTCCACTGTTCTCCACATGTAATTAGTATCTTGACATCTATCAGTACGGCACTGTAAACTTTTGACTGTTTTAGAGAGCATTCCAAATATTTTATTTCCTAGGCAATGATCCTACATTAACAGACTATAGTGGTGAAGTGAATGAATATATGAACACGTCTCCGGACATATATATGGGAACATTGGAAACAGTAATGATGGATACTGATAAATCTTGACCCTTATTTCAACTTTGAACCTGGGAATTTTAAGGGCAAATTGTTTTTCTTAGAACACTGTGTTTTTCCTTTCCTACTCAATAAAACCATTGTGTGGGTTTGTTAGCTCTTGATTATTTCTCTTCAAGAGGAGGATAACAGATAATTATTGTACACAGCCAATTTCACCTAACATGTAATTTTTTAGAGTAACCCTTTTTCTGATTGTGAATATAATATGTGCTGTGTGTGTAGAAGACTTGGAAAACACTGAAAAGTAAAAAAAGTAGAAAGCAAGCAAAGGTAATCATAATCCCACAACTAGAGATCATCTTATTATCATTTTGGTACGCTTCCTATTTAGTTTTCTTTTTAACAAATACTCTATATACGTTTTTATGTATATACTATATAATGTAGAACATTTTGAAAACAAAATTGAGATTATGCTCTTTCATATCCTGCTTTTTCCACTTAATATAATTATCACTGCTATCTCTTTTTTGTTAGACCTACTTTTTTGGTCTATTAATAGGTATTTGAAATTTTCTTCCTTTAGGGTCTCAACTAAAAGAGAAACACCTTTGAAAAGTGAATGCAGAATTAAGAATAAAAGTACTCATCTCCAAACAGGCAACTTGCATTCTGAAATGAACTCTTTTTCTGTTTAGCTGAATGAATAGTCCTGATTATTTGACTTCCTTGAACATCTGGATTTCTAAAAGTAAAGAATTAGACAAAATAGTAATTTCTTAAAGCTTTAGAGATGTATGACTATGTGAACCACCTAAGGTTTGTGGGATTATTTCCTAGCTTTCAAGTGCTTGTCTACATATTTGATTCTAGATTCTGGATAGAAAATAGCTGATTTAACACTTTTAATGGATATATTTGTTGTACTCTGATTCTTTTACTCCTTTGCCTTAGTTAATTATACATGTTGAGTAGGTAGAAAACAGTGCTATTTTTGGTTGATTTCTTGGAGCTCCTCCCAGCTTACTATGCCATATATGTGTATCTTTATTTTTACATTTTTTTGTATTTTATTTTATTTCTTTTAATTTTCATTCATTTATTTATCTTTTATAAGGACACTCTTGCACCAGCTAGAGTATAGTGGCATTCACCATAGCTCATTGCAACGTCAAGCTCCTAGGCTTGAGGCGTGATCCCCTGTCTTAGCTATCCAGCTAATTTTTTCTATTTTTAGTAGATAAGGGGACTCCTTCTTGCTCAGCCTGGTCTTGAACTTGTGAGCTTAAGCAGTCCTGCCACCTCAGCCTCTTAGAGTGTTAGGATTACAGGCTTGAGCCACCACGCCAAGTCATCTTTAGAGTTTTTTTTTTTTTTTTAAGATTGTGTTTATTATATTTCAGATGCTGAGATGAATCGTCACTTGTGTGTTTGGCTTTTTAGACAACCATCTCTTAGTTGTTACCCCCAGTGTTATATCCACCTTCGTTCTCATCCATGTAGACCAACACATCTTGGCACAAGGCTGTGGGTTCTTAGACCAAACAGGAATCACATTCTCCATCATCTGTTAAATAAGAACTGGTCCAGAAGATACTGTCATCAAGATACCAAGATGCTCTGGAAGCATGAAGCACTACAGAAATATATGGAAGAACTGAGTAAGGAGTGCCAAACACTTGAACAATGTTTGCAGCATGCATCTGTGAATGAAGAGAAGAGAAAGACCTGGAACCAAAGGCATGCTGAGTTGGCACCTCTTGCAGCCATTTACCAAGAAATTCGGAAGGCTGAACAAGCAATTGAAGAATTAGAATCAATGTTTAAAAGTGAGTGAAAGATATGTGTGCATAAGGATGGGATTGATTTTCTAAGTTAAACCTTTATTGAACTCAGTCTTTTAAAAAGCCTATAAGTAATAAGCTCAACACTTGGAAAGTACAACTCTGTACACAGGGTTTTTGATGTATTTTTGCTACTAAAGATCAACTCCATTAAGTGACCAGGTTCCTTGTGGAGCTTGCCATGTAGTTCTTCAGGTCTGGGAGACTCAATATTAACCTTTTCAGAAGCTTTCATTTATTGAACACTATTCTGTGTACCAGGGACACAAAAATACAGTTCTTACCCCATTCAAGGGCTTATGTAGCTTAGTGAGAGAGATTGTATTTATTTAAATATTATTTACAATGTGATACCTGCTCTACAAGAGGAAAGCACAGGATTTTATGGGAGTAAGTAGGAGGGACACTAAACCAGGTGGGATAGATTGAGGAGAGCTTCCTAAATGAGACCATACATTAGTTGAGCCCTGATGGAAGCTTTATATTTTGTGTTGTATATCTTTTTTTAGACACATTTTCCAATTGTGCAGATGGTGTATATCTTGAAATTACTCCCTTTTTTCTTTTTAAAAACCCCTCTGGGAACATTTTGGAAGAGATTCTTTTTTTTTGTTTTTAGACAGAGCCTCAAGCTGTCCCCCTGGGTAGAGTGCCATGGCATCACAGCTCACAGCAACCTCCAACTCCTGGGCTCAAGCGACTCTCCTGCCTCCGCCTCCCAAGTAGCTGGGACCACAGGCACCCGCCACAACGCCTGGCCATTTTTTTGGTTGCAGCCATCATTGTTGTTTGGCCGGCCCAGGCTGGATTCGAACCCGCCACCTTAGGTGTATGTGGCTGGCGCCTTAGCTACTTGAGCCACAGGCGCCAAGCCGGAAGATATTCTTTAATGTTTATTCCAATTGTAGTTTTAGATTGTTTGGAATTTGTATGTTTAATGACTGGAAATATTTTCTAGGATGAATAGCTGACAGATTTCTTAGAACCATTTATTATTATCATTATCAAATTATAAGCCTCAGTGTCTTCTCTGTTACTTTAAGCCCTAAATAAGCATCTGCACTCTGACAAGGCCTCTATTCTCTAGAAGTTGACAAACTATGAAACAAGTATTTAAAACAATCAATTTTACCTATTTTTTTTGGATCTAGAACCTTCTGAAATCTGAATATGTATATACTTGGGTTGCCATGTTAGGATTTGATAGTGAAAATCTAAATACTGCTTCCAGATTTCTTGTAGAAGTCTAACTAATTTTTTTTCTAGGAATCTAGTAAGGCTAATTCAGTCATTTAGTCATTTATTTGGCCAGAGTCTCCTGAGGGCTTCCTATAAGGCATTGTTGTAGGAAGCAGGGCTAAAAAAATAAGTAAGCTGTAAGGAATTTACCATCTAATTTGGGAGACATGCTACTTAATAAATGAAAAGCAATGTGACAAATGCCAGATTCACAATAAATCAAGCACTCTATTAGCTCAAAGAGGATCATAACTAAATCTTACAGAAGTAGGTGGGATGGGGTTTTAAATTCGATTTTGAGGAATGATTTTTCTGGGGGGAAAAGAAGGACATTCCAGGTAAAGGAAACAGTTTGAGCAAAGCTAAGAAAGGGTGAGAATGTGTAGAGGTGTTGGTGTGTAGTTGATGATGCAGAGTGACAGTGGACTAATCTGTTAAGATTGTGATGGGTTGGGCGGCGCCTGTAGCTCAGTGGGTAGGGTGCCAGCCATACACATCGAGGCTGGCAGGTTTGAACGCAGCCTGGGCCAGCTGAAACAATGACAACTGCAACAACGGAAAAAAAATAGCTGAGTATTGTGGTGGGCGCTGGTAGTCCCAGCTACTTGGGAGGCTGAGGCAAGAGAATTGCTTAAGCCCAAGAGTTTGAGGTTGCTGTGAGCTGTGACACCATGGCATTCCACCCAGGGCAACAGCTTAAGACTCGGTCTCAAAAAAAAAAAAAATATTGTGATGGATCTTGGATATCCTGCTAAGGAGGTTCTGAGACCCACATGGGTGTAGCTACTATGCAAGTCAACCACAGAAAGAGGGTTTTCTAACCAGGCAGAAAAGGGAGACTTAGAACATGAAGGCTTAGGGGTGCAGCATTTCTTTTTAGGATGATAAAAATTTGTTGTGGTAATGGTTACACACTTTGTGAATATAGTAAAAGCTACTTAGAGGTGTTTTTGTGGTGCGTGCCTACCAGATCTGGACAACTGCCTGGTGTCCTCAAACTACAGCCTGCGGGCCACATGTAGCCCACCTAGGACATTTATCCGGCCCGCTGGGTGTTTTTGCTGCTGCTGCCTGTCCTGCTTAGCAGCCGACTCATCCCAGGGCCCAAAGTCTGGCCCTCTAACGGTCTGAGGGACAGTGAACTGGCCCCCTGTTTAAAAAGTTTGAGGACCCCGGCATAGTATAAGCCTCGGTGGTGTTAAGTAACTGTCAAGGCCAGTTACTGTTAATACCTGTAACATCCTGGATGTTCAAAACCTTATTTTCCTGCCTTCCATTAGTGGTACCCATGAGTCTCTTATGGAGATTTAATAATATTTTTTACTCTTTTTAAGAATGTCACCTAAATTTGTAATTAATTAGTTTTGAGAAAGTTGCTTGCACATATAGGGGCCTACTAAATGCTTTCCAATTAAATTGCCATAACCTCTTCCAGCCTGGTTGTCTCACGTGTAGTATTAGTACATTGTATTAGATAATTTCTAAAGGTTCTGCTTGCTATTCTGCTATTTTATAATAACAGTGATAATAGCTACTAAGTATTTCTGTGTGTCAGGCTTTACAAATATTATCTCATTTGAATTCTTAGAGTAACCTTATAACGTAGAAATTATTTTATTATCTCTGTTTTACAGATAAAGAAACTGGAAAGTTAAATTTCCAGAGGTTGCTTAGTCAGTGAGGAGAAGGTTTGAACCGAAGCAGTGAGACTCCAAAGCCTTTTCTCTTTTCCGCTGCACAGAGATTCAAAGTCCAATAGGGTCTCCCTCTGTAATGTACCCAGCATGAGTCTCTTTCGATTCCTGCTATTAATATATCTTCAGTACAGTCTCTGACCTAGGCTTGGCCCCTGTGGCTCAAGTGGCTAAGGCGCCAGCCACATACACATAAGGTGGCAGGTTTGAATCCAGCCCTGGCCGCCAAACAACAATGAAGGCTGCAACCAAAAAAAACAGCCAGGCTTTGTGACCGGCGCCTGTGGTCCCAGCTACTTGGGAGGCGGAGGCAGGAGACTCGCTTGAGCCCAGGAGTTGGAGGTTGCTGTGAGCTGTGATGCTATGGCACTCTACCCAGGGAGACAGCTTGAGGCTCTGTCTTAAAAAAAAAAAAAATCTCTGACCTGGATGACTGGACATATATTCAGTTCCTAACTTGCTTCTAGTCTCACCTTAAGAGGTTCCCAGTTCAAGTGCATTTTTTTAAAAAGAGATTTAGAAACAGGGTCTTATTATTTTCCCTAAGTGAAGGACTCAACTATAACTTGGATAAGGTTTAACAGATGGAAACAGTGTGACCCAATCATAGGTACCCTTATATTAATCTGGGAAAAAAAGTGCATACTAGATATGAGCTAATCAAGACATTTCAAGAATTCTTATTAATATTTCTGATTTCTCTTGGACAAAATGGACATGCTAGCCATGCTGGACACACATCACAGTGTACTAAATTATTGCTGCCACCTTAGACAGGAATTGCTCGCCACAGTTTGCTCCATACTTTAACCCTATTGTGTGGGGGTAAACCCCCACAAAAATTAAATGAAATGTGCTCTTGTAATTCCAGAACTGAGCAAAAAGACTTGTGAGTATTATGCGCTTTTGTCGAAGCCCTAAGCAACCTGGGAAAACACGGTGGGGGCCTGCAGGCCAGGCGTAAAAACCTCCTACAGGGAACCCCGACTGTGCAGTCAAGTCAGCCTGTCAGATAAGGGTTGAAACGGCCCATCTGTGCAGAGGACATGACTCAAAGGTTGATGTGAATAAAAAGAAAAACTCTATCATAATGATGTGAGTAAAACACTCCATCGTAACTGCAGGGTCTCCAAAACCATAAAAAAACAGTCCTGAAGCCAGTTTCTCGGAAATCTAATTGAGTACATAGAAGAGAAAGGTTTTACTCCTCTGTTTATCCTAACCATTAACTTTAGCAATAGAAGTCAGATAATGTATTGTTCTTTTAGGTCTTCAGAGAGGAATAGCCTGATGCTAGCTTAAGATGGTTGTCTTACTTTCCCAGACTTTCTTTCTTTAGGCTAATCTTATGATGGCTATCTGACTTTCCCGGACTTTCTTTCTTTTCTATAGTTTAAGATAAGAAATGAGGATGTTAGGATTATTGCTCAATGTGGTGTACATGACTAGCTTCCAATAAAGGGGGAGTGGAAAATAAAGACATTTTGCTACATGCCACCTAAGAGTGTGTAGTCGTTTCTTGCTTTTAAACAATTCTAGGAGTGAGCTTGCACCTGTGGCCAAGCCGTCCTTCTCTCCCCACGAGAAAGAACATCACCTAACAATATTGTAGGGTAAACCCCCACACTATTGGGTTTATATTTAATCAGTTAATTCCTTTTAAACCTATTTGGATAATCACAGATTTCTATAATAACTTATAGCCATTCAAATAACAAGCTTGTGGGGGGGGGCAAGTTTATACTACTTTGCATTGAGATTTTTGGATGTGCTTAGCAAATTATTAATTGACACTCTCCAACTTTTTTTTTTCTTTTTTTTTTTTTTGAGACAGAGTGTCTCTCTGTTGCCTGGGCTAGAGTGCAGTGGCATTATCACAGATCATAGTAACCTCAAACTCCTGTACTCAAGTGATTCTCCTTCCTCAGCCTCTAAGTAGCTGGTACGACAGGCACATGCTACCACACTCAGCTAGTTTTTTTGTTTTTTACAGAGACAGGCTGTGTTGCCCAGGCTGATCTTAAACTCCTGGCCTCAAGTGATCTTCCTGCTTTGGCCTCCCAGAGTACTAGGATTATAGACATTAGCCACTGTGCCTGGCTGCTCCAGCTATTTTACTTGTTTCTGTAATCTTTTGCCTTCCTAAATGAAATAAAACCTAGTAGACAAAGAAGTGGTGGCTATTTAAGAGTTTCTCTGTAAGTTTTTAAAAACTTTACCATTATTTCTGTTGCTGCCTTTTAGGTCTGAATGAACAAGATGAAAAGCAGTTACAAGAACTTGCAGTAGAAGAAAGGCAAACCATTGATCAAAAAATCAACACGTTATACAGTGAGGTATGTTTAAGGAGGTAGACTAATATCAATAGTTTTATAGAAAGGAATATTGGTTTTGCTAGACTTTCTCTTAGCACTCAAAGCATTGATTTAAGTGTTTCCTTAGGAAAAGTGATCAAGCTGTAAATTGCTATAATTTGCATTGGACAGGAATTGGATGTCAAAGAATAAAACAAAGATCCCCAAGGCTTTCAAAGCTAAATGTGCTTGTTATCTTGCCAGGCAAGAAATCCATGCCAGTAAAGAAATCTAGTTTACCATGGGGAAAGAGTCGGGTTTTTTTAAGTGTTAGAAGGGTGGGGACGTGGGGACGTTCATGGTGATTGTGTTAATTAAGGATTGAAAATTCACACTCTTGGCTTGGCGCCTGTGGCTCAGCGGCTAGGGTGCCACCACATACACCAGGGCTGGTGGGTTGAACCCAGCCCAGGCCTGCCAAACAACAGTGGTAACTATAACCAAAAAATAGCTGGGTATTGTGGTGGACACCCGTAGTCCTAGCTACTTGGGAGGCTGAGGCAAGAGAATCACTTAAGCCCAAGAGTTTGAGGTTGCTGTGAGCTGTGATGCCACGGCACTCTACTGAGGGTAACATAGTGAGACTCTATCTCAAAAAAAATTGGAAAATTTGCACTCTAGGTAGAACAGAATAAGTTCAAGGGTATAGAGGTGGTTGGTTAGCACACATCTTTAGGTCTATTGAAAGTCTATTGTGGTTTATGAAACTGTATCAGCATCAGCTGAAATCTAGCAAGGAAGTGGAAAATTTTCCTTCACTAGTGGTCTCTTTTTCTTCTGGTTTGTCTGCAAAGACAGTGAAGAACACAATACTGTGTACTGTGTTTCCCTCTCTTATTTGCCATTCTCCTACTTTTAGGCCTTGTTAGAGGTTAGGGGGATAAAATGGAGGTATCAGTTATTTTTATTACTCATTTAACCAGTTTATCAAAGGCAGAGCAAGATCTCTGACTCTTGGTCTTATATTCTCTCCCACAGACTGTACTATAATTGCTAGCAGAGATGGAGTATTTCAGAAATTGGCATTAGGGCCCAAGCACAGTGGCTCCTGCTATAATGCCTGCACACTGTAGGAGGCCAGGTGAGAAGGGTCAGTTGAGGTCAGGAATTCACGATGCCAGCTTGGGCAATGTAGCAAAATCCCATCTCTACAAAAAAATTAAAATTAGCCAGGTGTGCTGGTGCACAGCTGTAGTCTCAGCTACTCAGGAGGCTGAGGCAGGATTGCTTGAGTCCAGGAGTTGCGGTTGCAGTGAGCTTTGATGTCACCACTGCAGTCCAGCCCAGGCAACAAAGTGAGACCTATCTTGGGGGGAAAGAAAAAGAAATTGGCAGTATGGAGAGTCATTATGCATACATACTTTTAGTTGGATTTGAAAGACCTTTTATTAGTAATTGAATTGCTTCCCTTTTCTTCCTATTGCCCCCTTTTTGTCACAGCTGACAAACTATTTTAGCCTTACCTTGTGAGTCCTCAACATAGTCTTTAAATAGAGTGACTATTGAGAAGGCAGAGGATGGCATGGTATCTGCTATCATTTTGGCAGGAGAGAATGCAAAATCATATGCAAAAGTCTTCATTTTCTCCAAATGGAGACTTTCAAAGCCTTGCTTCATTCATTAGATGAAAGAAGCTACTGTTGAGAAGTAATTAAAAGAGGCAAGATCTGAAGAAAATTGAACAGAACCCTGCGGACTTTGATCGAAACTTCTGCATTTTAGGAAATTAAGATAATCTGACAAGTAACTTCATTGTTAACATGAGTAAATCACCTATTTTAGGTCTAATTAAATCTATATTATAGCATGTTGGAATTCACTTCATCAAGATGCTAATATTCTCTTAATTACTGATTTTTTAAATGTTTTGGGGCTTTTATCTTAGTTCAAGAAGTAATAGTATGCCAGCAAAAATATTCACACCAATGCCGATTTTTTTTCCCCCAGCTTTTCCAGAATCTAGTGCCAAAAGAAAAATATGACAAAAATGATGTTATTTTAGAGGTGATATCTGGAAGAACTACTGGAGGTATGTATAAAATAATTTTATTGTGATCTAAAAAATGCTTAAATTTTACCTTGATTTGATATCACTGTATCTTTAAAAGTTCATTAACTGTGTTTAACTTTGGAAATAGTTATTATTTGTTTTCCTAAGAGACTCATATCTACGGATAGCTCTTTTAGAAATTTTTTTTTTTTTTTTGGATCACTTTTGGCACTCTGGGTAGAGTGCCATGGCATCACAGCTCACACCAACCTCAAACTCTTGGGCTCAGGTGATTCTCTCATCTTAGCCTACTGAGGAGCTGGGACTACAGGCACCTGCCACAATACCTGGAAATTTTTAGAGATGAGGTCTTGCTCTGGCTTAGGCTGGTCTTGAACTTGTGACCTTAGGCAGTCCACACACCTCGGCCTCCCAGAGTGCTAGGATTACAGGTGTGAGCCATTGTGCCTGGCCTGTGACTTTTGCTTTTTTTTTTTTTTTTTGAGACAGAGCCTCAAGCTGTCCCCCTGGGTAGAGTGCTATAGCATCACAGCTCACAGCAACCTCCAACTCCTGGGCTCAAGCGAGTCTCCTGCCTCTGCCTCCCAAGTAGCTGGGACCACAGGCTCCTGCCACAACGCCCGGCTATTTTTTTTTTTGGTTGCAGCCGTCATTGCTGTTTGGCGGGCCCAGGCTGGATTCGAACTTGCCACGTTAGGTGTATGTGGCTGGTGCCTTAGCCACTTGAGCCACAGGCACCGAGCCGACTTTTGCTTTTTGAAGAAGATAGGGGAAAAAGGAACTAAAAAAAAAAAACTTAAAATATTTTTTGAAAATAAGGAGTTTGTGCTGATGGAATTTTTAAATATTTTCTTTTAGGTGACATATGCCAACAATTTACCCGAGAAATATTTGACATGTATCAGAATTATTCATGCTACAAACATTGGAAATTTGAACTTCTGAATTATGCACCAGCAGACTATGGTAGGTACAGTTGAGGATTTTGTCTATAGAAGATGCTGAATATTATTTTACCTGTGGTCTTGATCAGAATCATGTATCATGTTGTCCCATTTTATTTATTTATTTATTTATTTGGTGACTTTGTAACGTCATTTAATGTGCCTGACAATCACCAACTAGTTCTCATCTGCATTGGCTGTAGATTTTTGAGAGTGGTAACAGGTAACCAAAGTATAAAGTTTTTTTGGTGACTCTTCACCTTCATTACGTTTTCTGGACAACTGCAGATACAGTACAGGACATTCCCTATGCCTTTGGCCCAGACAGCATTGTTGAGCCTGGTATCAATGTGCACATCTGGAGTCCCCACCTCTTTCATGGCAAATTTCCAGATCTCTTTGAGTGCCTGAGGGGCACATTTCTTGAAGCCCACTCCATGAATGCACTTGGGAATGTTGATGGTGTAGTCTCGAGTTACCACCTTGTTGATGGCAGACTGGCCCTTCTTCTTCTCACCACCCTTCTTTGTGGGAGCCATTCTGCCAGGCCCACGTTGGAAAGTGTTGTCCTGTGTTTTTTTTTTAAAGCAAAAAATATGGAACGCTTCATGAATTCGCGTGTCATCCTTGCACGGGGCCATGCTAATCTTCTCTGTATCGCTCCAATTTTAGTATATGTGCTGCCAAAGTGAGCACAAGTGTTGTGCCATTTTTTAAAACTTTTGGTCTGTATCAACTAAATACTGTGACATAGGTTCATCAGCCACAGTAGCTTATTATACTATCGTAGAATTAGCTGGGAGAAGAGAAGGGGAGGGAAGGAAGCATCCTAGGAAGGAATACGGGAATTAGAGAAAGTTCTCCTAATCTTTGCTCTGTTACTCACGGCAAAGATGCATATTAAAGTTTTTACGCTGAAGAATTTTATCATTTACATTCAGAAAGTATTAGTAGACTAAGTGGATAATAAGGAGTTAGATTTTTATGGCAGTACAAAAAACTTATTTGTATTTTCAAGAAATTTCCATTCTATTTGGGATGATAAAAATTTAAACAACATAAATAATAACAAACAGTGTAAGTTCTTAAACATTTAAGTAATCATGTTAATTCAGAACATCTGAGAGTAAGTCTCTCATTTTTTTCCATTTTTTTTTAACTCTATCTAAGAGGTTTTGTCTCCTTGGATACACTGTAATTTCCAAGGGTCATCAGTAATAAATCACCAACCATCAAATTGGGGAAAGAAGATTAATATAAGTTACACAGAGGGAAATGAAAATTGGGAAACAGCATAAGGAAGCTTCAGTTGATACAGAATTCAGATACATTACAGGGAATATCAGTGAGAGCAGCAGGAAGGAGCAAGCTGAACAGCAGCACAATGGCGGGAAAGATCTTGGCATGTGGGTAGGACAAGGAGGAGGCCAGTTTACCCATAGCTTATTTGTGAATGGAAGTAATAGCTGAAGTGGGGGTAGGTTTTGAACAGCCTTGAAAGCTGAATAAGAATTAAAAGGGACTAGGGGGCTGTTAAAAATTTTATTAATAAGAATATGACTTGGGCTCAGCGCCTGTAGCATAGTGGTTACAGCACCAGCCACATACACCAAGGGTGGCAGGTTTGAACCCTGCCCAGGTCAGCTAAACAACAATGACAACTGTGACAAAAAAATAGCCAGGCATTGTGGCAAGAGAATAGCTCGAGCCCAAGAGTTTGAGGTTGCTATGAACCATGATGCCATGGCACTCTATGGAGGGCGACATAGTGAGACTCTGTCTCAACAAAAAGAAAAAAAAGAATATGACTTGATGAGATACACATATTTAAAGATTATTTTAACAACAGTATGAAGGATGGATTGAAGATGGTGTATTTATGACAGACTCCAAAGAGGTTAGTAAGAGTAACTCAGACATGACCAGGAGTTAGAATTGGGAGTAAGGATACATATGAGACCTTTAAGGGATGAATGGGCAAAATTTGCTAAATGACTGCATATGGGAAGGGCTATTCCTTACCTAGTATGTCCTGTTAGACAACCTCACAACCCTGTGAGATTAAATATTGTTAATCTCATTTTACAGATAAGGATCTAGGCTCAGAAAGTAATTAATTCAAGATCGTACAATGAATAATGGCAATCTTGGGATTAAATGTAAGTCTCTCTGATCCAGAGTTGTACATCTCATTAATCTCTTTTGACACAAAGGAGATAAGCCACAGGGATTCTAATCTTTGTAGCTGGGAAGACTGTGATACTGGTTCATCCATGCCATTGAGCAGAGGAGAATTTGGAAGGCAGAATCCATTTGGGAAGAATAACTAATGATGATTAGGTTTTTTTTGTTGTTGTGTTTTATTTTTTTGAGACAGTCTCAGTCTGTCACCTTGGGTCGAGTGCTGTACCATCATAGCTCACAGCAACCTCCAACTCTTGGGCTTAAGAGATCCTCTTGCCTCAAATTTTCTATGTGTTAGTAGAGACAGGGTCTTGCTTTTTTGCCCAGGCTGGTCTCAAACTCGTGAGCTCAAGCAATCCACCCACCTGGGCCTCCTAGAGTGCTAGGATTATAGGTGTGAGCCACCGCACCTAGCCATAGGTTTTGAATTATTAAGTGTGAGGTTATAGTGAGCATCTATTTGGAAATATTCAGTAAATGCTGAAGTTGTATAACTAGAGCTTTGGTGAATTAATATAATTCAGGGGAACTATTTGATAGCTGTGAGCACAGAGATAATATCTGATATTGAGAGAATAAGTGAGGGAGAGCCTCTAGAAAGGGAACAGTCAGGGCACCAAGCTTTGAAGAATGGCCACATTTAGGAAGATAGATGAGTTGGTAAAAGAAAAAGAAGAATCAGATAAGCAAAAAAAGGATGAGGACAGTATAATATTACAGAGCAAAAGAGGAGAGAGTTTCAAGGAGAATATAATCAAAGATAGCTGTTACCATAAAAAAGAGAATAGTTGAAAATGTCCTGGGTAACCTCTGAGATGTATATTTTGAATAGGACTTTCAAGAATAAAAGGGAGATGTGACTTGGTGCCTGTAGTTCAGCAGCTAGGAGCTGGCAGGTTCGAATCTAACCCGGGCCTGCCAAACAACAATGACAACTACAACCAAAAAATAGCTGGGTGTTGTGGCAGGTGCCT